TGGGTGGAGGCAGGATCAGCTAATGCAGTCACTTGGCATCCGCAGGCTGAGCTGGTGCAGGTTCTGTCCTGGCCCTCAGTCTGGGGAAAACTCTCCTGATGATACAACAGGACTTGTAAGCTGGAGCCACTGAGGTACCCCCGATGCCGCCGTGACAGCGCCCCTGAAACAGTGGGGCTACTTGCTGAGACCACGTTTTCCCTTGGAGCTCATGGAACCTGGGCTCTGAAGCTGGGGCCAAGGGACTGACAGGAGCGCCCAGGGCCTCGCTCGGAAACCACTGGGGGGTGAGATCTCGCTTCTCCTCATCCCCCAACCTTGTTTCCCACACAGGCAGCAGCTGTGTATGGGCTCCAACATGTGCCCCATGACATGTGTGACTTTTATCTCATTTGCTCATCGGAGCAGCCAGGAGGCAGGTCCCAGGGATGGTCCCCTTCTGCCATGAGGAAACCGAGAAACTATCCAGTAACGGGCCCAAGTGGTCAGCAAGGAAGGAGCCATGTGCGTGGGACCCGCAGCACAACTTCCCGGGAGGGAGGCTGTCACTGCTCGGGGTAGGGTCCCAGAGCAGGCAGCCCCTCAGAAACTCGTTCCCTCCGAGGCCTGCAGGGGCAGTGCCCACCGCGGGGGAGGCAAAGTGGAGAGGTGATGCGGCCAGCTTGCTCTGTACAGAAGCCTTTATTGGGGAGGGGTCAGAGTTCATGGATCACCGGGAGGTGCAAATAGAGAGTTCTGAGAACGCTGCTGGGGCGCGAGCTTGGCGGTGGGGCTGCGGCCCGGATGGGTTGCCGGGAAGCACGGGAGCCCTGGTGCCAGTCCCTTAACTGTCCCACCGGACAGTGCCCTGGTGCCCTGGCATCATAGAGCTTCCCTCTGGGGCACCCCCCGGCCTTGGTGCTCTCCATCTCTCTGTGAGGACCCCAGGGGTCCGCAGAGGGACCAGTCCTCCTTGGCAGGTCCCTGCGTCGTGGCTGCTTTTCCTGGGACTGGCCGAAGAGCCAGTTCAGGGGGTCAGCCGTGTTTGGGGGCTGCTGGCTGCTGAAGGGAGTGGTGAAGTCCTGGAGGGACCCGGGGGAGCCGCTCTTCTCGCCGGCCCGGGCTTGCCAGGGGCGTCTGCTGGGCTGGGCCCTGGCTGCAGCCTCGGTCAGCGCTGAGGTGGGCTGCGCCAGCTGACAAATGGACCTCCTGTAGTCATCCAGGCTCGGGGAAGCCAGGGGGTCCTGCCTGGGCCCCCCAGGCAGCACCTCCTCCCAGCTCTCCCGGATTGTGGGCAGACGGGCCACAGAAAGCAGAAGCCGGGACCTCATGGCTGCCGACGGCTGGGAAGCAGCCACCTGTGGGGTGACAGAGAACTGGGGTGAGGGTCTGCCATGCCCCCCTGCCCCCGCCCCCCCCCACCCCCACGCCCCAGCTGAGGCTGCCTGTTTGAGTTTGCAGAGCCCCTCCTCTCAGCTAACGTTAAAGCCCATGCGAATAAGAGAACCCAGCCTAGGACTGCAGGCGGAGGGAACTAGGCTTAGAATCAGACTCTGCCCCTTCCTGACTCGGGGCCTTCGGCAGTGTCACCTCTCCAAGCCTCTACTTACTCGTCCATAAAACGGGTTGTAGGTACCTGCTTCCCGGGGGCGTATGGCATGACAATCACATGAGTGGCAGCTCCTGT